ACCCTCCCCTGACGCGCGCTGCATCGCGGTTTTCCCACCGTTCACAGGAAATAGCGCGGGTAAGCATCATGCGCGGCCCCGAAGCGGGGGAGCGATGCGAACGAGCGCGACGTACACCGGTGCGCGCCCGCCCCCGATCACGCGCGGCGTTAACCTCGCGGTCGTTCACGGTCGTTATCTCCGAGGCTGGAGACGCGATTTAATTTTAATCGTTTCCTCCGCCGACGCCTTCGACCCTCCCCCCTCCCCACCCCACCCCTTCTAACGCGACGCCGCAGGCGTCCCGCCATCGCGCGCGACGACGAAAGTCGTCTCCATCGAAAAGATGGATGACTTCACGCGCCTCACGATCGTGATCCCCTCGAACGCGGTCGGCGCGGTGCGCATGGGAACCTCGGTGTCCGTCAACGGCGTCCCTCTGTGCGTCGCGAGCGTCAACGAAGACTCGATGATCTTTGGCATCTCGAGCTCGTCCTCGCTCGCGGCCACGCTGAGCGCGCTGCCGCAGACCGTGGACGTCGCGATCGAGGTGGAGGAGGGGTTTCATCGCGTCCCGGTGAACGAGTCGACGGGAAGGAGCGGCGGCGGCGGCGGCGGCGGCGGCGGCGGCGGCGGAGGATCCGCCGCGCCGCCGAGGCGCGACGACGAGGCCATCCTGAAAGAAGCCGCCGCGAAGGCGAATCATCGCTCCGGGACGCCCCTGCCCGGGAGCGGCGAGTGGTACAAAGACACCCTCCCGTGGTACAGCAAGATGTACCCGAGCGACGTGGAGAACCGCGGCGGCGCCGGGACCGGATCTGGCTCCGGCGCGGGTGGTTCCGTCATGAACAACGCGACGCCGACGTGGACGTTTTCGACGTCTCGAGAGGCGGAGATCATCGACAGCTGGTCCGCGCCGCTGGACGTCCCGCCGCAACCGCAGCGCGAGGAGGAGGAGGAGAGCGTCGCGCCGCCGCCGCCGCGCGACGAGTCCGAGTCCGCGCGCCGCGCGCCGCCGGCGACGGGGTCGAACGCGCCGGGGGCGCACGCCGTCGTCGGCGCGTTGCAGAACCTCGCCAAGTCGAACTCGTACTTGCAAGACCGCGTCGGGAAGCTTCTGGACGTGATCGAGAGCAAAGGCCCGGGGTTCGACGATCCGGCGATCATCCAAAAGGCGCGGGACCTCGGCGCGGTCATCCCGCAGAGCGAGGACGCCGCCGCCAACGCCAACGCCGCGGCGGAGGCGCCCTCCGCGACGCCGTCGGATTGGCAAGCGCCGCTGCGCGCGGAGATGCCAAAGGGGAACGATCCGAACGCGAGCACGCCCGCGCGGCCGATGATGAACTACCAGCCGCCCGCGCCGACGACCCCGACCCCGACGCCGCCGCAGCAGCAGCAGCAGCAGCAGCAACGCGCGGCTTCGCCGTCGCCGCCGCCGCCGCCGCCGCCGCCGCTCAGCGACACCGCGACGTACGAGCCGTCCGTCGAGGTGTGCGTCATGCAACACCCCGGGGCGATCTGCTGCACGCGGTCGGAGATCTCCACGGACGACGCGAAGCGGTCGGCGACGATCACGGTCCACACGACGGTGCGACGCGCGCAGGGCGACGCGGGGATTCACTCGGATCAGATGACGATGTCGGATTTCGTCGCGCTCGGCGCGCAAGCCATCGCGGACAAGGCGGGGGAACTCCGAGACGCCAAGATGCAGGACGTCGTGGACAAAGAGGCGAAGATCATGCACGATCGCATCCAGCAGATTTTGCAGAACGGGAAGATCATCTGGGTCGAGGCGATGCACGAGGTCCAGGGGAAGTACGGACACCCGTGCTACAAGTTGAAGCTCGAGTGCACGAAGGGCTCGGGCGCGGTGATCGACTGCGTGTTCAAGCCCGCGATCGAGGGCAACGGCGAGGGGTGGCACCGCGCGGGGATGGAGTACGTCGCGTACAAACTGTCGAGGATGCTCGGCATGGACTCCGTGCCGCCGTGCGCGTACCGCCAGCCCAGCGCCGGGATCGAGCTCGATTATAAACACTTCGACGAGGGGGCGTTTATGTACTGGTCCGACGACGCGGACGACTTGGAGAAGACGGCTGGGTTTCAGCAGGCGCTCGACACCGGGGCCTGGGGCGAGGGCATCGACCCGCGGGTGGTGCTCTCGGACACGCGCATATTAGACGTGCTGCTGCAAAACAGCGATCGGCACGCCGGGCATTTCTTGTTCGGGCGGCACTGGACCGACGGCGGGCCTCGGCCGGGGTCGGAGAAGCCGCAGAACGTCAGCGCGGTGATGAACTCGAACGTCTCGGACGGGGAGAAGAACGATATCATCAAGAGAGCGGTGAGCTTGGGCGGGAAGATGAAGCGGCCGGTGCTCATCGACCACGCCGCGGCGTTCCGTCCGGAGGCGTTCGTGAGCATGGAGCACGAGAACGCGTTTCAGACGGGGCCGACGAGGTGCGTGGACTCGAAGACGTATCTTCGTCTGCGGTTTTTAGACGCCAAGGCCATCGCGGACGAGCTCGGGTTCGTCCTCGACGCGGGCGAGCAGGCGCAGCTGCTGGAGCGGAGGGATACGATCCTGGCGTATCTGGATGATCTCGTACAGAAAAACGGCTTCGAAGCGACGGTTATCAACAGGTAACATCAGGTGAAATAATAATAATGTATGTACAAGACCCAAGTAAGATAGAAGGGTAGGGACGCGGGCGGGCGTTGGGGGGCGTCGAAGCGCGCAGCACGGCGACGAGGAGGAGACGATGACGTGGCGAGAAAGACACGCGGTTGTTGTTGTACACCTAAGTTGTTATGATACTACCGACTACGGTAAACATCAAACTGACATCGAATTCGAACTCGAATCGAATCGAATCCCCCACCGATCACCAGTCAGTTGATCCACTCCTCCGCGTCCTCGCCGAGCAGCGCCTCCCTGAGACGCTCCCGAAGCCCCTCCACCTTGCCGCTCGTCGGCAGCCCGAGCGCGGTCAACGCGGACCTCAACCCCGTCTTATCGAACGCGTCCACGTCCCTCGCGCGTATCGCCTTCACCCGCACCGCGGCGGCGATCTCCGCGCTGGACGCGATCGACCAGTCCACGGCGACGTCGTCGTCGTCCGCGCTCGCGCTCACGCTCCGCGCGCTTGCCTCGAGCCGACGCTCCATCGACGGCCCAGCGCCCCGCCTTCGTCTGGCCAGAGAGTACTCCGGCGTCACGAACACCTCGGCGTTCAAGTACTCGTACGTCGGCTCGCTCTCCTCGACGCGGACGCACTCGCTGCTGCCATCGCCGCCCATGGCGAACACCTGCCACGCGCCGCCGTGCGTCTTCAGGATCCGCGCGACGCCGCCGGTGCCCATGTAGTCCCCGCCCTTCGCCGGGTCCCGCGTCGACGCCGCGCCGACGCGGGTTTCTGTGAGATGAAACGCGGGCGCGAACGTGTCGAGAAAGTCAAACGCGCGCCGCTTCCACGGGCCGACGCCGAAGTCCGAGATGATCTGCCCGCTCTCGTTCCACTGCGGGTTCACGAGGAGCGTGATCGCGGCGTCGCCGGCGTCGCGTCCTCGCTCGCTCTCCTCCGCGAGCTTCCGCAAGACGTCGAGCTGCTGCGCGTTTGGAATGACGACGGCGCGGACGCTCCCCGCGGCGTTGCGCAGCACCCCGACCGGGTCGTTGTCGTCGTCCACCCTCGTCGCGGTGATGTCCCCGCCGTTCGCGTCCACTCTCCGCATCACCGCCGCCGCGGTCTCCATCGCGGCTCTGTACACCGCGTCCGCGTTGGCCTCGTAGTCGGCGCGTTCGGTGGACGTGAAGTCGTCCCCGCGGTTGTTCGTCGGGAGAAGGAGGGTCAGTCGCTGGCGTCTCGCGCCGGACGCGGCCGCGGCGACGACGCAGCTCGCGCACGCGGCGACCTGCTCCGCGCACGTCTGCGGCAGCGGCGCGAGCGTCGTCGAGGAGGAGGACGCGTCGTTCGGCGCCGCGCGCGCGGCGGACGAGGCGTCGCGATCGGATCCCGATCGTGACGAGAGGCGACGACGCGGACGAGGGCGACGCGCGGGCGTCGTCGTCGGCGCGCGAGGCGCGCGCCGCGTCGTCGCGGTCGTCGCGACGCGGTGTAGGGTCTTCATCGGGGTCGCCATTGGAAGTGCGGCTGCCTGGGGGCGCGGGGGAGTGCGACGAGCGGCGTCCTCGCGCGGCGCGGACTGACGGTGCCTGCTGTCGTCGTATCCACGCAGCTGTCGCGGAGGCTCACCAGTGTTCGTTCAGTTTTCTCCCAGGGAGACGCTCGCCACTATCCGCGGCGCGTCCGTCGCGTCCCCTCGCGCGGCGATGCCGCCGCCCAAGCGTAGTAAGCGCGCGTCCGTCGCGCTCGCGACGCCGCCGCCGCCGGCGACGGACGACAACCTCGGCGCGCTGTCTGTCCTCGATCGCGGATGCCTCGAGAAGATACTCGGATGCCTCGATCACGACGCGCTTTTCACGGTGCCGTCCGTGTGCAAGACGCTCCGAGACATGCTTCGCGGCGACCCAGCGGGGCCGTCCATCGAGGCGTTAGAGACGCCGGGGTTCACCCGTCCGTCTTCGCCGTGGACGGCGCAAGTCCGGAGGCTGGTCGAGCGCTGCGCGGGCGAGCTGTCGTACTACGACTCGCGGATCGCGGAGCTGCTCGAGAGCGGGAGATTGAATCCGAAGATCGAGACGCACAGAGCGGCGGACTCGACGAGCTTCAGCGAAGACTATTACAAAGACGCGATGTCGTGGGCGTATCATCCACTCGTGGCGTTGCTCAGCGCGCGGGACATGACGACGTTTCCGCGCGCGGAGAAGAAGTGGACGTGGAAAGGCGCCCCTCGCGGCGACGCGTTTCTTCTGACGTACCATCCTCGGGTCGTGGATGGGTGGGATGCCTGTAACCACACGCGTCCTTTTCCTTATAATTCTCTGTATAAATTCGAGGACCACGGAATGTGTTCGTGGAAGAAGCAGCTGCCGAGCATGAAGGCGCTCTACGAGTACATCTACAGATTTGGCGCGCTGTGTTACGACTGCTGGCGCTACCAAGAGAATTCTAACGAGGTAAGGCGCTGGGAGTCGCCGTCGCGTGATAGTGATGGAGAACCAGAAGCGATTCGTAAGCTCACGAAGGGCGTCTGCGAGACAGGCGAGACAGGCTACGAATCGGACGAATCGGACAGCCACGGGCAGTACGACGTTTTCTTGCCGCCGAATTCGCGGCGCACGAACGACTTTAGCCCGCTGTGCGTGACCCTGTGCCGAGACTGCTCTCGCGGGTACGCGGGTCCGCCGAATCCGTCGCAGAGGCTTCTCACCGCGACGGACGCGAAGCGTTCGTACTGCCTCCGACCGGCGGACATCGAGCCGTTACCCCACGCCATCGACACGAACCCGATCGAAGCCGGATTCGCGCCGATGAAGCTGTACCGCAAAGTTGACGTCGTCGCCGCCGCGTTGAGTCGGTGGAAGACGCGCGAAAAGTTGGACGCGGAGATTCACAAGCGACTGATTCGGTGAGCGACGTCCCGGCGGCGATCGCCATCGCGGGCGCGCGTTAGATAGATAGATAGATAGGCTACGTATCGCTAGGTTTGGGTGGAAGTCGAGGACCGACGCCGTCGAGGTCACAGCTCGCCGTCGCCGCCGCCGCCGCCGCCGCCGCCGCCGCCGCGAGATTCTTTCCCGAGATTCTTCAGAAAATTCTTCGCGCGCTTCGCCTTCTTCGCCTTTTTGATCTTCGCCATCGCCTTCCCCCCGAACTTCTTCTTCCTCTTCTTCGTCGGGTCGTACACCTTGCCCTCCTTCTCCGCCTTCCTCTGCCGCGCGAGCTCGTTGTACGGGTTCCCCGGCCGCGCGATCCCTCGCTCGGCTTCCCTCTTATCGATCGCGTCTTGAAACTTTTCGCTGTTGAAGTGCTCCTTCACCATCGCGCGCCCCTCGGGCGACTGCAGCTTCCCCAAGATGCCCACCCTCTCTTCCATGGACTTCCCGCGCATCGCCTTCCCGAGCTCCGACGCCATGATGTTCTCCAGCTCCGCGTTCGCGTCCTTCAACGTCGGCGCGTCGACGTCGATCTTCGTCTTCTCCGCGTCGAGCGCGACCGGGACGTCCCCCAGGTGGTCCCCTGCCGCGGCGTCGCGCGTCGCGCCCGTCTCCGCGGCGGCGACGTTGTCGTCGTCGTCGCATCGCGTCGCGACCGGCGCAAGGAGGAGGAGGAGGAGGAGGAGGAGGCTCGAGAGGCGCGCGAGGCGCGTCGCGGGCCGCGGCATCGCGCGCGTCTCAGTGATGAATGAAGGCCGCGGCGCCGTTCTCCGCCACTGGGGGCTGACATCGGATAGTTGAAAGGGAAATCGATCAAATGTTGAAACCAAACGGTGGGTGAAAAACGTTTGCAATGAACGCTCCGGTATCCGGCGCCGGCTCGGAAGCTCCAGAAGCCTTCGAAGACTTTCGGCGATGCGTTCGCGAGCGCCGCGCGGTCGCGTCGCGGCTCATTCCGCACGCGCACCGCCCGCGAATCATCCCGTGAGCTCGACGTTCCGTCGCTCGCGTATTTCATCGTAAGCAGTCGCACACGCTCCGCGTCGCCATGGCGTCCTTCGCGCTCTCCTCCGTCGCTCTCAAGGCCGCCGCCGCCTCCGTGGCGAAGCGCTCGGGCGCGTCCCGCCGCGGCGTCGCCGTTCGCGCCGCCGCCGGGTTCGAGATGCCCGGCGAGTACAAGAAGGTGCGCGCTCGAATCGATAAGATTTCGCTCGTCGCCGCGTCCGTCGACGTCGACGTCGCCTTCGCGCCTCGTCGCGTCGCGTCGCGTCGCGTCGCGCGCGACGACGGATAACGCGCCGATGGAGGAAACCGCGTCGCGAATTGTTCGCGCCGATCGATGAATCGAGCGCTGACGACCCCCGCTCTCCGCTCCTCGCTTCACGACTCCACAGATCGCGCCCCTCGGCGAACGTGTCCTCATCAAGGTCGCGGAAGCGGAGACGAAGACCGCGGGCGGGATCCTCCTCGCGGAGTCCGCGCAGCGCAAGCCCACGAGCGGCGCGTCCTCCGTCGATTCGCGCCTCGCCTCGATTCGTTTCAACCCTAACCCCGAAACCACCCTCCAGTCGTCGCGTCGGTCCTCCGACGCTCGCCGCCGTCGCCGCCGTCCTAACGTTCCCTGGATCCCCAAATTTCATCCCCTCCCCTCTCACCCCTCCTCGCAGGCGACGTCACCGAGCTCGGCCCCGACTGCGTCGAGGTCAAGAAGGGCGACACCGTCCTCTACAACAAGTTTGGCATCGGCTGCACGGACATCGAGATGGGCGGTTCGTCGTACGTCATGATCAACGAACGCGACCTCATCGGCACGTTTCCCGGCGCGGGCGCCACCGCGGACGATATCCCGAAGCTGACGCCGCTCGGCGATCGGATTCTTCTGAAGACCGACGACGCGGAGACGACGACGGCGGGGGGGATCATGCTCACGGAGGGCGCGGTGGAGAAGCCGTGCACGGCGACCGTCCTCGCAACGGGGCCCGGGAAGAAGGCTGCGGAGAAGGGCGGCGAGGACGAGAAGGACGCCGCGGAGGCCAAGCCGATCGCGATCAAGAAGGGCGAGCGCGTGATGTACTTCAAGTACGCGGGCGATAAGATGTACGACGGCGACGGGAAGGAGTACGTCGTGCTGCACGAGAACGACGTCCTCGCGGTCATGTGAGCGACGACGACGACGGCGGCGGACGCGGTTGGATGGGTGGATGAAGGATGTTTCGATGGACGAATGAATGAAGTCGGATGGACGCATCGACGAGCGATGAGGACGGCCGTCGGCGCCGCCGAGGCGACGCGTCACCGCGGAGGCGATCGACGACGACGGGGGGAGAAGAGAGAGAGGCGAGCGATCGAGCGACGAGTGTTGGCGCGGGCGTAGGATTGTATTCGTCGACGAGAGCGAGCGAGCGTCAGAGCGTCAGTCGTCGAACTTCGCTCGTTCGTCGCTCGTTCCGTCGATCGCTCGCGCGCGCCGCTCGCGCTCGGCCGCTTCCCAGTGTGTCGCGCGATCGGCTCTGCGGGCGTTCGATAGGAAAAAATCCGCGGTCAAGTCTCGGTCAAAATCGTGGATGACGTTAGAAAACGCCGATGAAAATCGCGTCTTCGAAACCACGCCGCTCGCGTGACCGGTGCGTCCGGGGATCTACGGGGACTCGCCTCGGCCAATCACGTGCGATGCACGGAAAATCCGTGGCCGTGGTCACGGTCTTTTCTCGATCGATCGCGGCGACGCGCGCGCCATTCTCCGCACACGAAGGACGCTCCCTCACGCACCTTTACAAACCAAGCATCATGGCCGCTCTCCAGGTTAACGCGCTCTTCAAGAAGGTCGCGCCCGCGCCCGCGAAGAAGGCTGCCCCCGCGAAGAAGGGTCTCTTCGGCGCGAAGCCCGCCCCCGCGAAGAAGGCTGCGCCCGCGAAGAAGGCTGCCCCGGTCAAGAAGGCTGCCCCCGCCAAGACCAAGGTCGTCAAGAAGGCGGCGCCCGTGAAGAAGTCTTCCGGCAAGCCCTCCCAGGCTGGCGGCGACCTCGCGAAGTGGTATGGTGAGTACCGCGCGGCGTCGAACGCGCAGACGCGTCCCGATCGGTTTCTTACCCGGCGTCGTCCGCGACGCGAATCATTTCCGCTTGACATCATCGATCGATCGATCATCGAGACGTCGACGCGTGACGCCTTTATCCGTCCCTCCCTCCCCCGATCATCGACCAGGCAAGAACCGCCGCTTCTACCTCCCCTCCGGTCTCCTCGACCCCGCCACGGACGTCCCGTCCTACATGGACGGCACCCTCGCGGGCGACTACGGCTTCGACCCCCTCAAGCTCGGCGCGGACGGCAAGATTAACGACTACCGCGCCGCGGAGGTGATCCACGCGCGCTGGGCGATGCTCGCCATCCCGGGCATCGTCATCCCGGAGGCGCTCGGCATCCCGGGCGGCGTCTGGACGGAGACCGGCAAGGTGTTCCTCGACGGCGAAGCCGGCCGCCCGGAGATTCTCCAGAACCCGATCATCTTCGCCGGGATCCAGATCGCGCTCTTCGCCGCGGTGGAAGGGTACCGCTCGGGCAAGGTGGCGCCCCCGGAGGGTTTCGTCCCGGGCAAGGGCAAGTTCTCCGGCTCTGACTTCGCGGGCCTCGACCCGATCAACCCCGGCGGTCCCCTCGACTTCTTCAACGTCGCGTCGACGCCGGAGGATCTCGCTATCCTCAAGGTGAAGGAGATCAAGAACGGCCGCCTCGCGATGATCGCGATGCTCGGCGTTTTCGTCCAAGGGCTCACCACGGGCGAGGGGCCGGCGGCGAACTGGGGCAAGCACGTCGCCGATCCGTTCGGTTACAACTTCGTCACCATCTCCGCGATCGAGCGCACGCCCGTCCTGTAAACGGTCGATCGTGTTCAATTTTGTGACTCGCGTCGCGGCGACCGCGAGCTCGCGCGTTCACGTTATTAACAGCGAGCTCGTTCCCGCGACGCGCGGAGACCCGGTGATGAATGGCGGTGCGAAGAAAAACGACGCGAACGCGTCGTCGTTGAACATGTTTGAACGCTGCGCCGGGACGGCTTGACTAGCGAGTGTAGAGTTCCGCGACGCGCGGAGTGTTCAATACGTAAACGAGACTATGAGCGTTTATCCCGCGCGCGCCGCGCTCGAATCGATCCGTCGCCCGTCGTTCGGCGGGTACACCTTCTCCTCCCGTGAAAGCGTGCACTCGTCTGTGCGTCTCGTCTGCTGTTCTGTCGCCTGCAGAGTTCTTTCGTTAGTCGACTCTTGCCTTCCCTCTCGCACAATAGGACGGCGCGCGGCGTCTTCCGCGCGCGCGCAGGGTCCACGGCGGCGGCGTGACCCTCCCGACGTCATCATGGCGTCGTTCACTCCCGAGGAAGAGGTCGTGATCATCACGGACTTCATGACGAAGCTGTAGAAGCCGAGGTACGCGCCCGCCCTCGATCTGAACGAGAAGAGGCTATAGCGATCGATCGTTCAGCGGCAGTTCGTCGCCGCCGCGGACGCGATGCTGAAGCGCGTCGCGAGGGAGGACGCCGCGAGCATGGGGGGTGCGGCCGCGGGCGCCGCGGGGGCGTCCATCGCGTCCGCGCCCGCGATGGGCGTCCCGCGGAGGAGCTACCTCACGTCGCGTGCGACCGGCGACGAATCGAGGCACCCTCGCGGTGTGCCTCCGTCCGCGGCGGCGCCGGGGCGATCGTCGGCGCCGAACGCGCCGCCGCCGGCGATCACGTCGTCGGAGACGTTCCCGGAGCTGGGCCGAGGCGCGCGGACGCGGGCCGGGGGAGAGTACAGCACCGCGGAGCGGTCCGCGAACGCGAGATCTCGGCATCAACTCGAGCGCGACGAGCGCGGCGGCGGCGGCGGCGGCGGCGGCGGCGGGCGTAAACCGAACGGGGGGAGGCAGGCGCCCGGAACGACGCGAGGCGTCGAGGGCGCGCGCGCGTTCGCGTCGAACGCGCCGGAAGCGCGCCCTTCCGCGGCGTCGGACTCGACGTCCGGCGACCTCCCGGGATACGTCTTCATGTGCTCGAACGGGACGAGGGACGAGTGCCTGTCGAAAAAACTCTTCGGGCTGCCGCACGGGAAACTTCGCTCAAGCTGCAGCACCGCCCGACGGGCGGCGGCGGCGGCGGCGGCGGCGGCGGAAACGGCGGCGGCGAGACGCACTGGATTCCGGAGAAGTTCCCCACGAGCGTGTACTGGCTCAGCAACGACGTCGGGAGCGAGACGTGGCCGGCGACGGACGATAAGGTGGAGCGGTTCTTGGACGCGTTCCGCGAGGTCGCGAGGAGGTGATAGCGTAGGCGTCAGAGGACGGCGACGAAGGAGAATAAAAGTACCTTCGTAGAACTCAAGACGGAGCACTGGATTACACGACCTGGACGCGAGCGCACACGTCACGCCACCTCAGACCCTCCGCACGCGCCGCGCGTCTCGCACGCACGCGCACGCCGCGCGCGATGTCGAACCTCCCGATAGGATGGGAGAACCGTCGCAACGCGCTCTCCGAGCACGACATGCGCCTGGTGCGCGCGTCTCCTTCGGCGACCCCTCGCCGCCATCCATCGTCGCGTCGCCGTCTCATCAGCGCGAGCCACGACGCCGTCCGTCTCCGTCGCGCGCCCCTCCCCCACTCCCCTCCCCCTCCCGCGCCGCTCGCTCACCGTCCCATCTTCATCCTCCGCGTCCGTCGTCGCGTCGCGTCGCGCGTCGATCGCAGGGCGCCGCCGCCGCCGGCACGTTCTCGAGCAAGGGCGCGCTCGCGAACGCGTACTCGGACGGCGCCGAGGCGCGAAAGACGTCCGAGGAGGTGGCGGCGTTCTACATGTCGCAGATCGAGAAGGAGCGCGCGGAGCGCGTTTCGGCGGCGGCGGCGGCGGCGGCGGCGGGAGGCCCGGGGAGCGCCGCGGCCGCGTCGTCGTCGTCGCTGCCGTCGGGGTGGGAGGAGCGCGCGCGGGTCCGCGACGCGGAGGCGAAGGCGTACGGCGTCGCCGCGCCCCCGGGCCAAACGGCGAGCGGCGGCGGCGGGACCGGATTCAATCCGCCCTCTTTGGCGTCGCCGGTCTTCGGCGCCGACCGCCACGCGCGCGCGGCGACGGCGTCGGGGATGATAGATCTGGAAGACGGAACGTCAACCGGCGCGGCGTCCTGTTTGCTGTCCGTCGCCACGCACGCTCTGGAGCAGCTCGCGAGGACGCTCCGCGCGACGCCGACGGCGTTTGCCGACGAGGAGAGAGCCGCGTTCGCGGCGGCGGTGAAGCGATCGATGGACGCCGTCGCGCGATGCCGCGCGTGAGCGAGGGCGTGGGTTCGCGACGCGACGACGACGCGCATTCGCGCGCGTAGCCTTAGGACGCGACGGGTCGTGTACGGCCGCGGGGGCGACGACGACCCCTATCGATAAATATCAATATCCACCAGCTGGCGTGCTCCGTTCAGTTCCCGCCAGTCTGACGAGGCGACTTAGAGTTCGAATCACGCGCTCTGCTCCGCGTCATCACTGCTCCGCGCGCGCGACACGCCGCCGCCGCCGCCGCCGTCGCGTCGTCCTCACCGTCGTCATGGCGCACGCATCGTCGCCCGCCCGCGCGGCGTCGCGACCGAACGTCATCGCGCGCCGAATCGGCCGCGGGGCGAGCGTCTCGATTCCGCGATCGTCGCCGCCCCCGTCGCCCTCGAGGCGAGGCGCGGGATCCGCCAAGGTGGCGCTCCCGCCGTCGCCGCGCGGCGTCGTCGCGCGCGCGTCGGAGAACGCGCACCACGGCGGGCGCGCCGCGACCGTCGTCCCCCGCGCAGCCGCGGCGTCCGGCGAGGACTCGGGCGCGGCGGCGGACGACGCCGCGGACGCGGACGACGCCGTCGCCGCGCTCGACGCCGCGCCCGCGCCCGGAAAGGTGGACTCCATCGGCGAAGCGTTCGATGTCGTCCGCGCGTCGCTGTCGTCCTCGTCGGTAGCGCCGAAAGGGAGCAACAAGAAGACGCTCTCGCTGAGCCTCGCGCTCGTCGCGCTCGTCGCGATCCACGTGCGCGACCCGGGATGGGGCGTGTGGAACGTCATCCGCGTCGTCGGGAGTCTCATCCTAGGATCGGGGCTCGCGCTCAAGGGGTATAAATCCGGCTCGCTCGATCTCTCCGGCGCGCTCTCCGCCGCGGCCGTGGGCTGGGGCACGCTCTACGCCGGCGTCCGCTTCGGCGTCACCCTCGGCGTGTTCTTCTTCGCGTCCTCCGCGATGACCAAGGTGGGCGCGGACGTCAAGAGGAAGATCGACGAGCACTTCGTCGAGGGCAAGGCGCGTTCTATATCACACCGGTTCCCATACGGCCGCGTCGGCGTGGTGAACGCCGTTCCTTAAGGACTTTTCCCGGCGCATCTCTCCGCCCGCCCCTCGCTTTCAATACCCGTCTTCGACGCCTCACAACTCCACCCCTGACGCCTTTGAACTCCACCCCGATATCATCGCTCGTATGGAACGACCCTCAAAGGAGGGCGGCGGTCGTGACTGGATCCAAGTCGCCGCCAACGGCGCCGTGCCGACGCTCCTCGCGATGTCGTACTCGTTCGCGACGGGCGGGCCGGAGTACGTGTTGGGGTACGCGAACGCGTTCGAGACGCCGCTCGCGTGCGCGTTCATCGCGTACTACGGCACGTGCTGCGGCGACACTTGGGGCAGCGAGCTCGGCGTGTTGTCCAAAAAACTCCCGCGGCTGATAATAAACCCGGGGAAGAAGGTGCAGCCCGGGACGAACGGCGGCGTGACGTCGCTGGGGTTGATCGCGTCCGGGCTCGGCGGGCTCGCCGTCGGGTTCGCGTTCTACGTCTCCGGGCTGCTCGTGCCGCTCGTGACCGGGAACTTGAGCTCGGCGATGCAGTTTTTAGCGCAGTGGCCGACGCTCGCGCTCGGGTTCTTGAGCGGCGTCTTCGGGTCGCTGCTCGACTCGTTGCTCGGGGCGACGATCCAGTTCTCCGGGTATTGCTCCGAGCGGAAGAAGATGGTGTCCAAGCCCGGGCCGACCGTCACGAAGGTGAGCGGCTTGAACTTTTTGTCCAACAGCGCGGTGAATTTCGTCACCGCGACGGCGATGGCGTTGGCGGTGTATTACGGCGTCATCTTCGCGGGGGTGCCGTTCTGATTCGATTCGATTCGATTCGATTCGATTCGAGCGACCGCCGCCGCGGCGTGGGGGTGGATGGTATGGGGGGGTTCACGATGGGTTGGGTTGGGGCGCGTGCGCTGTATTTGTATTCGTGTGCCGATCTATCGCGCGTTGTTGTCATGAAGGTATCAATCAAGGATTAAAAGGTCGGATCTCGTCTCGCTCGTCTCCACTCGCGTCGAATCAGTCCGAACCGCTCCCGTCGTCGTCGTCGTCGCTCCCGTCGTCGCTCCCGTCGTCGTCGTCGTCGATCACCGTCGGCTTATCCGCCGCCTTCGTCGCCTCGTACTCCTTCAGCTTGACGGCGTACGCCGCCTTGGCCTCCTTCGCCTTGTCCTCGTACGGCACCTTCTCCTCCGCGGTCATCTCCTTCCACTTGGCGCCGAGCGCCTTACCAATCTCCCCGATGCTCATGCCCGGGGTCTCCTCCACGAGCTTCCCTCGGTTCTCGCCCGCGAAGATCATGTACGACGACAGCGGCCGCTTCGGCGCGTTCGGGTCCTTCTTCGCCTTCTTCCCCTTCTTTCCACCTTTCCCTTTCCCCTTCGCCGCCGCCTTCGCCTTCTTCGCGGGGGACTTCTTCGCCTTCTTCTTCTTGGGAGCGTCCGAGTCCGAGTCGCCGCCGCCGTCCGAATCGTCGTCGTCGTCGCTTCCGCTCTCGTCCGTGGGCTCGCCGCCGTCGCTGTCCGACCCCGCGGCGAAGTCCTCGTCCGTGCCGCTGTCCTCGCCGCCCGCGCGCAGACGCGCGGCGTGGTGGTCCTCCTCTTCCTCGTCGTCGATGATCTGATCCACGCGCGCCTGCGCGTCGACGTTGACAATCTTGAGCTGCTTCGCCGTGAGAAAGTTGACCAAGTTTTGAAACTCCTGCTTCGGGATGCCGTGGAACTGGTGCTGCGCCCCGCCCGCGGCGGTCTTCATCGAGACGAGGATGTCGAACGTCCGCTGCGCGCCCACCGCGCCCGCGCCCGAGTGCCGCTCGAACTCGATCGAGTCCACGTCCGCGTAGTGCAACAACAGCGGCGGCTTCGGGAGGTAGAAGAACGACTTCTCCATCGGGAAGAGCAAGCCAACTTCGGCTTTGTTCGACGCCTTGACCGCGCTGCCGCCGCCGGGGGAGGCGAACGTGCCCTGCCGCGTGAGCTTGCACCCGGCGACGGCTTTCAGCAGACGCACGAACACCTCCCCGGAGGGACCGTCGTACTTTTCCTCGAGCTTCTCGAATTTCCCCCGCTGCTCCTCCGTCAACGCGGGCTCGATCTCGAGCTCCTCGTTCGCGTTGAACGTCGCGACGATGTGCGGGTAGAACGTCTGCCCTTTCCGGATCGGCGGGTCGAGGTGAATGATCCCGAACGTCTGGTGCCCGTTCGGTTTCGGAAGTAGGAACACGCGTTGCACGGCGCTGTACTGAATTTTGAAATCCGCCGCCGAACCCAAGAGACGCACGTGCGTCGCGTGGACCTCGATGTCCACCTTCCCTCTCGGGGCGACGAGCGAGACGCCCTCGAACTCCGCGATCGCCTCCCCGGCGTCGTCGTCCACGTCCGCGACGGTGAGGAGCTTGTCCATCAAGTTCTTAGCGCCCGTGTCTTCGTTGTCCTCGATCGATTGATCGACGCCCCACTTCGAAGACGTCGGCGGGACGTAAAAGCTCATCTCCACGAGCGCGTCCTTCGAGGCCTGGTGCACGGTGTCGTCCATGTGGAACTCCATGACGACCTCGTGCTTCGTCGCGAGGTTCACGGAGGCGATGTCCTTCGCGTTGACCTCGAAAGACGTCTTCCCGTCGACGGTGAACGTAAGCGACGATCTGTCCACGTCAACCTCGCCCCAGTTTCGTCCGTTCGTCTGCGCCTCTCGCTTCGTCAGCTTCTTCGCGTAGCACTCCGCGACGAGCTCTTTGACGCCGGCGAGGTCGGACGCGCGGAAGCCGCGAAGGCGGACCGCCTCCTTGTCCCCGGCGCGGCGGATCGTGAGCACGACCCCGCCGGGGACGGGGGTGTACGCGATCTCTTCGATCTCCGAAGGCGCGATCTCGACCGAGCGTCCGCCGCCGGCTTTCTTCCACGAGATCCCGGCGGCGGACATCTTGAGCGCGCCTTGGATCGGGACGCCGCGGCCGATCAGGGAGATGCTCCCGAACGTCTCCTCGCGGGACATGACGACGACGCGCGATCGACCGACGACGCTGGTGGATCTTTTGAACTTTCCGCGCTGTCAGAGAGAGCACGCGGCGAGATCGGCGCGAGGTGTGAGCTCGCGATCGATGCCCGCGGGCGCCGCGCGGTCGATTCGCGATGGAAGATCGCGAACGGGACGGCCTGCCGAACCTGTGCGATGACGTCTACGACGTCGCGCGGGGTGCTGTGCGGCGCGAGGGCGCAGATCGGACGGTCGCGGACCGCGGCGATTTGAACCAACTCGCCACAGAAAACGCGCGAACAGAAGCGAGCAGACGACCGTCCGAGCTTTCACAGTCTGAGAGACTTTTACACGTGGTGCTCGGTTAACTACTGTACTCCCTCCTCACGCGGCGACGCCGCCGTCGACGCCGCTCCCCGGCGCGTTCGAGACGCCCTCGCCCGCGCTCAACCCGTCCACGAACCCCCGCGCTTTGTCCGCAGCCTCGCGCGCGCGATGCTTCAACCCGACCCCGCCGCCGTTCGCGCCGGAAGAAGCCGTCCCGTGCCACAGGTCTCCGAGCGCCGCGCTCGCTGTTCTCGCCGCGGACGCGATGTGCGGCGCCGCCACGCGCGCCACCTCACTCGCGGCGACCGCGCCCGCGCCGACGATCGTCACCGCGGCCCTCCCGGCCGTGCCCGCGGCGTTCTTGAGCCACGCGTCGTTCGCGGATCCCGCCGACGGCGTCTTCGCGTCCGACGCCGCCGCCGCCGCCGCCGCCGCCGTCGTCGTCGCGCCGCCCGCCGCCGCCGAGCCGCCCGCCGCACATCGCGCGACGTCGCTCGCGTGCCTCGCGTGCGCGATCGCGGCGCGGTTCGCCATCGTCACCGTCGCCGCGTGCATCCCGGCCGCGACGTCGCCGCCGCGGTCCGCGCCCGCGGCGATGGCCGACTGCAACGCTTGCACGGCGGCGGTGGCGTCCGAGGCGGCGCGCGTCGCCGCGGCGGCGGCGCGCATCGCGTCCGCGGCCGCGGCCTGCGCCTCCGCGGCGTCTCGCAGCGCGGCGACGACGCGCGGGTCCTTCGCGTCGGAAGGGATGACCGCGTACGGGCGCGGTTCCGTCGCCGTCGCGGCGGCCGCGACGGCCGCGGCCGCGGGCGCGGCCGCGGGCGCGGGCGCGGGCGCGGCGTCGTCCTCGGTCGCGAACGACGCGGCGCCCGCCTCCTCGCGCTCGGACAGCTGCGCGGCCGCCTCCGCGAGGTCGGGATCGGCCTCGATCCCGGCCGCGACCGCGGCGATCGCGTCCTTCGTCGACAGCGCGGCGGACGGCGACGCGGCAGCGGCGGCGAAGCCGGCGTCGTCCTCCGCCGCCGCCTCCGCCGCCGCGCCCATGTCCTCCGCCATCATCGCCGCGGTCATCGCGGTCATCGCGCTCGTCGCGTGCGCGTCGTTCGAGTCCTTCTTCTTCTCCTTAGCCGCGGCCGCCTCAGCCTTCGCCGCGAGCGCCCTCTCCGTCTCCTCCTGCGCGCGGCGCACTTTTTCCTTCCCGCCTCTCAGGGTCGTTCCATACGAGCGAACGTCGGGGTGGAGTTCATAGGCGTCAGATGGAGTTGAAAGGCGTCGAGGGCGGGTATTGAAAGCGAGGGGTGGGCGGAGAGAGACGCCGGGCAAAGTCCTTAAGAAACGGCGTCCACCACGCGAACGGGGTCGTATGGGAACCAGTGTATAGAACGCGCCTCAGCGAGTTGAGCGCGAGAAACGTGAGCACGTTGACGCCGAGCAAAGCGCGCGCGGCGACCCACACGCCGCCCTGGGCGGACACCGCCGCGGTCGGGTCCGCGGCCCAAGACGCGGCGGTGTCCGCGCCTCTCTTCGCAGCCTCGGTCGCCCACGACGCGGTCGACGCCGCGAGCGCCTTGAGCGCCTCGACGTCGACGCGTTCGTCGGCGTCGTCGTCGTCGCCGTTCGAATCGTCGCCGTCGCCGCGGTCCTCGTCGTCGCCGCTCCCGCCGCCGCCGCCGTCGCCGCCGCCGCCGCCGGTCGCGGCGTCGAGGGCGTCGTCGTTCGTCGCGGGCGGCGGCTTCTCGTCCACCGCGGGGACGATGTTGTTCGTTGTATCCGCGGTGGAGGACGACGACGACGCCGCGGAAGAGGAGACGTCGGAGACGTCGTCGTCGATCGCGCGCTCCGCCTCGTCCTTCGCTGGCGCCTCCGCCTCCGCGTCGACGTCGTTCGCGTTGTTCGCGCGAGGGGCCGTCGCCGCGCGCGGACTCTTCGACACGCGCGAAACCGCGCGCATCGACGCGGACAGCGCGCGCGTTTGGACGCGCGACGAGAGCGTCGCGCGACGCGTCGCGCCGACGGCGGGCGAGGCGCGCCTCTCATCAGACCGCGACGAGCCATGGGCGCGATTAAATATCGGCGACGCGCACGCCGAGAGCGCGAGGACGCCGCTCGCGCTCATGACGACGCGCGAGGGCGAGACGCGAGCGTTCGCGAGGGAGGTGTGGCGCGCGCGAGATCCGCTTCCCGGGCGACGGGCGCGCGCGGGTCTCGCGTCGTTCGCGCGCGAGTGAGGCGCGAGATCTGCGCGGCGTGTTCCTTCCATTTCACGCGGGAAAGGATCTTTGTGTCATCACGCAGATGCGCCGCGGGCGCGCGGTCGGTACACCCTTCCGGCGCGGCGGTCAAGCGAGGCGGTTTCCATCGCGCGGGTGCGCGCCACTCCGAGGCGCGCGCGGCGAGCGGATCTCCGACCTCGCAGAACACACGCCGCCCAGGACGGTGTTTGGACGTTGGCAGCCATGGTGCGATCGCGCTCGAACCCCATCGCCGACGACGGCGCCGTCGTCGGTCGCAATCGTCGTCGCGTTCCCTAATTGGGTGATGACTCGACTCGCTTCTTTCCGTCTTTCCCCCAAATTCTCACCTCGCCGTCCCATCCCCCCACCGCCCCGCTTCTGCCCTCGTCGCCGCAGGCGCTCGACGACCCGAACACGACCAAGTCGTCCATCGAGACGATGAAGAAAGCGCTCGCGGACACGCTCGCGAAGCGCATGCTCGCCAAGTTTATCGCCCCCAACGCGCCCGCGCCCGACGTCGTGACGATCACCGCGATCGTGCGCGAGGAGGTGGACGGGTTCATGAACAACACCGGAAGCGTCAAGGAGAGCGAGATCGCGGCGCTGGAGCGACGCATCAAGGACCGGATCACCGGCGGGAAGGTGGCGGGACGGCGGTTCGGCGCGCCCGTCGTGGACGAGTGGGCGGAGATCAGCAAATGGCAGGCGAAGGAGAACGACCGCGTCCAAGCGGAGAAATTGGCGAGTTACAAGGCGTCGCAGCGGAAGATGAAGGAGGAGCTCGACGCGCAGGTGGCGGAGAAGGCGCGGAAGAAGCTCCTGGAGAAGGAAGAGGTCGTCGCGGACAAGGTGGACGTCACGCGGAGGCTGGAGGAGTGGAAGCTCGACGAGCTCGAGAAGATCGCGAAGAGAACCGCCGCCGTCGACAAGCTGAAGACGGATCGGCGAGCGCAGCTCGAGGACAAGGCGGCGAGGAAGGCGGCGATGGAGGAGGAGAAGCGGCAGGAGGAGGCGGACTTGCGCCGCGCGCTCGCGGCGGACTACCGACGGAAGCAAGCGGAGGAGGCGGCGGCGAAGCGGAAGATCGCGGCGGAGATTGAAAAGCTTAAAAAGTCCAACGAGGAGACGCTTGCGCTTCGCGCCAAGCAAGCCGCGGACGACGAAGCGCTGGATCTGAAGTACCAGGAGATGTACGCGGAGAAGCTTCGCAAGCAAGAGGAGGCGTACCACGCCAACTTGCTGAAGATGAAGGAGAAGCAGAAGTCCCAGGAGGCTTTCGGGAACGCCATCGGGCCGTACAAACGGTACATGCCGGATGAGATCATCGAGAAAAACGCCGCCAACTACGACCGCCTCGCCGCGGAGAGAGACGCGCGCGACGCGAAGCACCAGGTCGACCTCAACGCGGCGGTGAAGAAGGAGCTCGCGGAGCAGGTCAAGGCGAAGCAAGAGCGTCTGGATCGCGAGAGAGACGAGGAGGCGCGGCGGTACGCGAGGTTTGCCCGCGTCGTCGACACGCTCGAGAGCGCGGAGCGGGAGTCGCGACGCGAGGGGTTCGAACGCGCGGTTCGGCACAAGGAGGAGCTCGAGGCGCAGATGCGGGATAACATGGTTCGGAAGAAGGTGTTCCCGATGACCGCGACGGAGAAGGAGCTGAACACCGCGCTGCTCCAGCGCGTGAAGGCGGAGCAAGGGTCGTACTGAGCGGAGAGCGCCGCCGGCTTTCGGATGTAATCTAAAAAAATAACGCGTTCGTTCGAGAACCATTTACATTACCATTGTCGCTCCTCGCGATGACGAAGCACTACGCGCAGACGATATGCCTGCGCGACGGCGCCGGCGTCGTCGATGAGTACAAGGCGTACCACGCGGAGGCGTGGCCGGAGGTGTGCGACGCGCTGTCGGCCGTGGGCGTGGAGGAGATGAGGATATGGCTCGTCGGGCGTCGACTCTTCATGGCGATGTCCACCTCGGACGCGTTCGACCCCGAGGTTGACTTCCCGAGGCACATGGCGATGTCCCCGCGGTGCGTCGAGTGGGGCGCCCGGATGAGAGCGTTCCAGACGCCGCCGCCGGAGGCGATGGAGGGCGACTGGTGGACGTACATGGAGTGCGTGTTCGACCTCGGGGCGCGCGACCGGTCGAAGCCCGGGTATAGAAATAGCGACTGATGAGATCGCGATCGCAACCCCGACGTTCACAACAGCGAGCGCATGACGACCTTCGCGAGCGCGAGCGCGCGCGCGTTCCTCCATCGCGCGCCCTCTTCCTCTTCCTCCCCCTCCACCTCCTCTCGTCCCTCCTCGCGCTCGGTCGGACCCCGCGCCGCGAGACGCGCGCGTTCCGTCGTCGTCCTCGCGTCGGAGGACGACGGAAGAGCGGGGAAGAAAACCTGGAGTGATCGCGACGCTCGCGCTCGCGAGCCGTCCGCAGCGCAGAAGCTCAAGGAAGCGCAGCTCGCCGCGTCCGCGGCGATCCGCGAGCTCGAGGAAGCGCAGGCGATATTCGACGAGGAGCAGGCGGCGGCGAAGAAGGCGTTCGACGAGAGGGGGGGGGAGGACGAGGATTTTGACGCGGACGCGGACGCGGAGGAGGAGGACGACGACGAAGAGGGGCCGAAGCAGGCCATCCCGAACAGCGAGTTCGAACCCAACATGGCCGCGCCGTTCGACGCCGCGAACGCGATCATCTGGGATCTCGACGGCACGCTCGCGGACACCACGACGCTGGGCTTCACGTCCACGAACGCGGTCCTCGCGGAGGCGGGACATGCGGAGGTTACGTTGGAGGAATACAGGCGCGGGACGCGTTACGCGACGCCGCAGCGGATGGCGCTCCACGCGCGCGGCGACGTCGACCACGAAGACGGGATCGAGCTCGCGCGAAGATTCGACGAGATGTACGTGAAGCTCGTCACGACGGACACCGCGGGGTTCTTCCCGGACGTCTTCGAGGTCGTGGAGGCGCTGCATAAGCGCGGGGTGAATCAGGGCGTCTTATCGAACGCGTGCACCGAGTACGCGCGAGAGGTGATGATCGTGAACGGCGCGAGCAAGATGATGCGCGCGATATCCGGCGCGGACGCCGTCCCGGAGGTGAAGCCCTCGCCCAAGGGGTTGCTTCAGGTGGCGGAGAAGTGCTACTCGCACCCGCGGTTGTGCTGTTACGTCGGGGATTCCCCGAGCGACGGCGTCGCGGCGAGCGCGGCGGGGATGATGTCGGTTGGGGTGCCGTGGGGTTCGCACTCCAGGGAGGAGTTGGAGGGGTCGTTCGACAAGGTCGTGGACGACCCGAAGCAGCTGATGCGGTTGCTGTTGCCGGTGGACGCGCCGATTCGCGGGTGGAGCCACCGCAAGTGATGAGATGATGTGAGCTACACTAGGTTCGTATCGTTCGATTTATTCTCGTCGTCGATTTATTCTCCTCGACGCCTCGCCGCGCCCTCACCCTTCTACCCTAATTAACGACGCCGCCCCCGACGTTCATGTCGACGCCCCCTCCCCCTCCCCCACCGCCTTCGCCTTCTTGTACGGCGTCTCCGCCTTCCCCTGCCGCATCGCGACGAACCGCGCGGCGGTGTACAGAAAGTCGGACAGACGGTTCAAGTACACGCCGACGCTCTCGACGCAGTCCCCTCGGCGAATCAGCGGAACGCATCGTCGCTCCGCGCGGCGCGCGACGACGCGCGCCACGTGCAGCCGCGCCGACGCGTGCCCGCCCGAGGGAAGAATGAACGTCTTCAGCGGCGGAAGGTGCGCGTCGTACTCGTCGATCCACGCCTCCAACGTCGTCGCGTGCGACGCCTCGAACGACGTCCGATCCCTCTTCCACTCGCTAGATTCGCCGAGCGGCGTCGCGACCGCGCTGCCGACGTCGAGAAGCCGGCTCTGAATCTCCTTCAGGCGCGCCAGCAGCGCGCCGCGCTCGTCCTCGCCGCGATCGATCGCGCGCGCGTCCTCGTCCTCCCCCCGCCTTCGCAAACCCCACGAGTCGAGCGCGTCGCCTTCGCCGTCGTCGTCGCCCACGATCGGGTCCTCCAGGTGCGCGCACGCGACGCCGATCGCGACGCCGAGCTCGTCCACGTCGCCGAGCGCCTCGAACACGTCGTCGTCCTTGTCCCTGCGCTCCATGTTGAAGAGGCACGAGGAGCCGTCGTCGCCCGTGCGCGTGTAGACCTTCACGCCGCGGTCGCCGTCGGCGGGCGCGGACGGCGGCGCGGCCTCGGACGCGGTCATGACGCGTCGCCCGCGCGCGCGGATCTGTGATGGCGTCCCCCGCGAAACTCTGCCGGTGCGCAGGTGCCGAAAACGCCGCGACCGGGCCGGGTGACGCTGGTGATTCCATACGAATTTTGCGTACTCGTACTCTATGGTTTTTTAGTATGATCGAGTTT